CTTTCCCTGTGTCTACTTTCAGTGACTCAAAGACGTCGTCGTTTTCTTTCGGCGCGACTCCGGCTACTGGTTCTAATGCTGCTGATGTTACCAAGACTACTGGATTCTCGTTTGGTGGTGCAGCTGCTTCCACTGGTTTCAGCTTCCCGAGCAGCACGACGTCTGGTACAGGGTTTAACTTTGGAGCAGCTACGACTTCGACTCCGGCAACAACATCTGGCTTTAGCTTCGGTGTTGGCTCGGGTAACTCAGGATCTACTAGCGGAAGTTCTGCTGCTGTCGATTCAACAGTGAAAGACACGAAACCCGCTTCTCCAAAGAAGGCGGTCTCGCATGAATACGGACAAAACGACGAGAACGAATTCGCCGAGTCCGATGGCGAGTCAAGTGACGAGGAAGAGGAGCGAAAGGAAGAAGAGGAAAAGGCCAGGTCTACTTTCCGTACGATTGCGTCCAATGGAGCCGATTACATCGCTTCGGAGCTGTTCCCGAAGCTGTTTAAGGCGATGGGCTCTACTTATGACGAGGAGGAGCACACCAGCACAGTGGCAAGTCTCGAGAAGGATGGGAAGATCTACGAGAATGACTTCGTTACGTGGTACGTGAATTGGATTTTCGGTGGCGATGAATCTGATTCTGAGGAAGAGGACAATCAGCCAGTAGCCACTAAAAAAACCATTTCGCACGAATACGGCCAGAACGATGAGAATGAGTTTGCTGAGTGTGACGAATCGAGTGACGAGGAGGAGGAGCGTAAGGAAGAAGAAGACACTGCTAGAGTTACGTTCCGCACGATTACTGCCGATGGAACCGACTATATCGCGTCGGAGCAGTTCCCAAAGCTGATTAAGGCAATGGGGGCTACCTATGACGAGGAAGAACATGCCAACACCGTGAAAAGCCTCGAGAAGGATGGAAAGATTTACGAATCCGACTTCGTTACATGGTACGTGAATTGGATTTTCGGTGACGAAGCCTCGGATTCGGATGAAGATGAAAGTGCACCTGCATCGGCGGATGCAAAGTCCGAGATGAAGTCGAAGGAGGAGATCGCAGCGGCGTTCTCGAAATTTACGGCCAAGGAGGGAAGCTGGAAGTGCGCAGTGTGTATGGTGAACAATGGCCCGGATGCAATGAAGTGCAGTGCTTGTGA